TCCTGCCGCTGGATCTGCAAATCTGGGAACCCGATGGCGATTCGACAGTCGGCTGTGGCCACCGCATGGTGTCGAAATATTCGAAGGAATGTAACTTTGCCTTTCAGTTTCGTTTTCGCGTCCACCTCCACTTCTCCTCTGATGACATCTCTTATCAAATCACTAATCTTTTCGATGGCTTTATCGGCTTCAATGGTAAGTTTAGTCTTAAACTTACGTGAACCATTGGCGGGGATGTTACCAGGGTCTAAATCAGCTTGACCCACCTCGATTTCTCGATAATACAAGTTACTCCGGCCTTCTCCATAGCTGAAAGTCGCATGGTTAGGATTTCGAACCAGCAATTCGATATCGAGAGTCACGTTGAGTTCGAAATTCAGCACTGGAAAGGTCACCCTCGGCCGGAATCCAGTAACTGTAGCAGAGAGGACAGTGGTCTCGGGGTCCTTGGGTTTAAAAACGGTGCAAGCAAGAATCAAAACGATTAGAAAGAGAATGAGAAGAAGAGAAAATAGAGTGACTAAGATAAGCCAGAGACGCCGGTTTTTGTGGCCTTTAAGGGGCTGTTTCAGTCCCGTTTCCCCGACTGGTTCGGTCATGGTGGTGGTGCAGGCTTTGTAGGAGAGTGGGGTGAGAAGGTTTGTGGGAGAGGAGGAGGAGGAGGAGGAGGAGGAGGAGGAATAGGAATCCTACTTACTTTGCTTGGGAATCCTACTTTTCATACGGACGCCAGTCCAAACCCTGGTTATCAACCGGAATGCACCAGATAAAGTTTGGTCAATATGATTAGCCCGTTATGCTGTTTAAACAAAATTAGTCAATTTTATAATTATACTTTTTTTTTTTTACAATTTAAATTTTTAGTGCAACTAGTTCGACAAGTGGTGAGACTGATTTTGACTAGACCATACCCATTACCGATTCAAATGCGGGTCCGATCCATTTGAATTTACGCATACTGCACTATTTGTATACTACATGTGTCTTACTATAGATAATGGGGTTGGGGTCGTGGTGGTATCATCACTTGTGCCCTACCAAAGTCTCGGCTTCTTTTCTCACTTAACGCATTTAAAAATCATTAACGATTTAAAATAAAAATGAGTAGGGGTTCATCATCCCCACTGAATCACTCAAAAAATAAAACACGTGTCATATTATACATACATTACAAAAAAAAAATGATATATATATTAGAAAATACACGGAAGGATGTCTAATGTCCTGATCGTTTTGCTATGCTCATGCCAAGAAGTTAAAATTAAAATAATTTATAAGAATATTAAATTAAAATGAAAATCAATATATTATTTTTACAATTTTATTTTGTTATTTAATAATTTAGAATTTTTAGCTAATTAAATTTATTTCTTTATCCAAATATCTTTTATTTAATTGCCATTTAATTTGTCATGTTTTCTTTATTTTCTTATTTATCTTTTATTTCAAATTACTTTTGTAACATACTTAGTTATTATGTTGAGATATGTATTATTTGTTTTAAGTGGACAGGCCTATTTTATAGAAATTATTATTTTTCTTCTCAGCAAATGTTTTTAGCAGTATTTGCAGTAAGGAGTAATTTTTGTTTCAAAACATGAAGAGAGAAAAAAATTATAGAAATAAATTGAAGTTCACACCTCTACTTTTTCTCCTTGGCCATATGGATTTCTCAATAACTAGATATATGTTTTATTACTAGATTATGGAAAATAGCAAATGGAAGGCACTTTAATCATATAAAAAAATTGAGTCTTTTTATGTGGAGTCATCCTTTTACAAGAGAAGGGGAGGGGGGGGTTGGCTGGATTTAATGCTAAACGTCCAACTGACCAACAAGATGTGAATTGAATGGGTTGACACAAGGCATTAAAACATGGGAGATGGGGCACTTTCATCAAATGCCCATGTATTTAGTATGAAATTTCGAGAATACCCCCCAAAATTGGATGCCCATGTTTTTATTATGAGATTTCGAGAATGCCCCCTTAAATTTACATGAAATTTGTGATAATGGCTTTTAACCATCGATATCAATATTAGATCGGCTTATATGATGCCTTTGCTGGTTTGGCCTTAAATAAAAAAAATTAGTTTAATATGAAACAACAAATCAATGTTAAAATAATTTTGATCGATTGGATATTTACCTAATTTGACTGGCTAAACAAACTTAGTTATGTTCATCATATTTCATAATTTTTACCTATCGTCATTATTCCCCAAAATGGTGGCCACAATTTTATGAAATTTTGTGAATTTGAGCAATAAATGAGGTGTCTCCCTCTAACGGACTTTTAAGGACTTGAAAATGCCATAAAATTAATGCCTTCACATGTACCGTCCACTTCATTTTTCATTTCTTTTTTCTCTTTTTTTTTTTTGGTTTCCTTCACATGTACCTCTTCCCTTTTCTTTTCTTTTTTTTTCTTTTTTTTGCTTTTTTTTTTAGGAAAAAACAACAAAGGGGTTTTGGAATTTTGGTATAATTTTGGAATCCCTGATGCAGGCTTCTTAGAATTTGTACTTTCAGGACCATGTTACATAGGAAGCTCAATATAAGTATCTGCATAATGTTAGATATGAAGCTCAATTAGATGGTATTGCATTGATGTGTCAATGAAACAATATATATTAACCACTGTTTCATATTTAATGGGATTTATTTTATATTTTTGTTAATTGGCAATCCTATATTAAGGGTATTTTTTCGGAATATCAATCCTGCACCTTGGGTTACATTTTTTGCATTTGTTAATGTAATTATCATGCTTATTATTGTTGTTATTGTTTCCTTATAAACTTCTAATAAAACCGGTGTATATATCATGACGGTTGAGGAAGTAGTGTTATTATATGAAATAATCTGGACAAAAAAATTGCCAAGTAAACCCTAAATGATATGAAGTAGAAGTAAGGACTTATATTATTAGAGAAATGATCCTATAGGATCCTTCTCCGTCCATGTGTGTAGGATCCTAAAAGATCACTTTTAAAATTGGCATGGATCTCTAAAAAAATCAAGTCCCACATCCATGTGATAACTTTTATAGAGATCCATGTCAATTTTAATGATGATCCTTTGAGGTCCTACACACATGAGTGGGAGAGGGTCCTATAGGATCATTACTCACATTATTATTATTCAATAACTTTAATGTATTATCACAATCTACAAATCATAATTCTATCGTCATCTTGGCGTATCCGATTTTTTTTCACTCTCACCTTCTTAAGCCAACTCCGAACAATTCACGATTACCGATATTTTGTCCCCATTTTTTTACTCTAACTTTTTTTACTAAAACCGATTTATTACTGGTTATACGGTTATGGCATACAGAAAGAGGGGAGAGATATGGGTTGGGTGGGTAAGGCCTCCTACGAGGTGGCAACGGGTTGGGTCGGGTTCAGGTCCAGGTCCAGGTCCAGGGGTGGGTAAGGCCTCCTACGGGGTGGCAATGGGTCCGGGTCCAAGTCCCAGGGTGGGTAAGGCCTCCTACAGGGTGGCAATGGGTTGGGTCGGGTCAAGGTCCGGCCAGACCAGACCAGGACCCGATCGGATCTGACTCAAAAATAAAAAATACATATTTAAACATATTAAAATATTATGTTAAATATATACATGTATTATTAAATATTATAATTAAAACATATGGCTATATTTATTTAAATATTAATTAAATATTATCAAATAGTATATATTCAATATTATTTAAATAATAATACTATTTGGATCAGGTCCACATGGATCGAACCTGGCGGGTCTATCTCTGGGCCTAGGTCAGGTCCAGCGTCGGGTCGGGGTCCACTGCCACCCGCCCTCATTCTACCATTTAGAAAGTCAACCATGGCCTCATTCCAAAGAGAGATGGAGGGATGGAGAGAGGTGCATGATTCCGATTTGTCAACTTTGAATGGTTAGGCGGTTCCATCAATTTAAGAGAGCATAAAATCTTATGGGTTACATAACATCAACGGCACATTATCAAAGGAAAAGTTTATACTTTGGAAAAAGATATTTTGATAACTCAGAGCACTTATGCGTTTGCCCTACCTTCCAAATCACGGCAAATCGATATTTGCTTCAATTCCATGAATTGGAGCACTCAAAAATCTAGGAAGTCTTTTTTAGATTTGAAATGAATGGCCTAAAAAAATTTAAAATTTATTTTTGAAGCTCCAAATTAATTTGTCTAGATTTATGATTACAATTGCGAGATGATAGACATGTAAAATTATAGATCCAAAATTGATTCATTCTTAAAGAAAAAAAAGAAGAGTAAGGGAAAAAAAATTTTAACAAAAGGTGCAATTTGCATCTAGACACATCCATAGGTGTAGAGGTAAGGTACACCTTCAAATTTTATCATGGTATATAATTTTGACGTAAAATGTTGTTAGTATTGTCTCAAAATCTATTTTTATATCTAATTATAAAATTTTAAATTTAAAAAATTGTTAAAATCAAGTAGAACTATAAACATATGAAAATTTTGAAAATGGACGGTGCGGATAATATGTTGTAAAATACACTATTTCTGAGAAAATTCCTAAAAAAAATGCCAAAAATAAGAAAAACCCTTAGAAAATTTCTAAAAATTTACAAAAAAAAATCCCCAAAAATTAGAAAAAAATCTCATAATTTATATTCAACCTCTGAAGATCACAAAACCCTTAGAAAATTAAAGAAATTCTCCTTCAGACCCCGAGAAAGACCAACAGCTTTAGAAAAATCTCTAGATTGAAAACCTTAGAGAAAATAAAAACCCTAGCCTCCTGAAGTCCTAACCCCAAGACTGAAAAAACTTAGACCTAAAATACAAAAATCCTAAATCAAAAACTAGAATTAAGGCACAATCTAACCCTTTACACCAGAAATATGCTGGTCAACATCTGAAATCAAAGACGCAAAAAGGACCGGTTCGTATACAAGCGAACCCTCGAAGGCTCGAGAATCCCGGGCCATCCGGCCCGGTTTGGTATTATTTATTCCTCTATCTTTCTTCTTCGTTTTACTGTTTTTCTTCTTTTATTTATTTTTCTTCTGTTAACCTGTCTTAAAAATAGTATTTTAATGATCTGGGTAATGCTGGCTCTGCCACATATTTGCGAGTAGAAATGCTCGTTTCCGGGCAAATCTGGCCTCAGATCTAAATTCGATATATCTCACTTTCTCTACCACTTCATTTACATCTTTTTAATTAGTTTAAAGTGTTAAAATTCGACATATCTTCATCGGAATATCTGTCAGATTTTCATCATAAACAGAAATATATAAATTTTATGTTGTAGGTGACGCATAGAAAGCTTGCCCTTAAAATAAACCTCCACAACTAAAGATTCCTATCCAATGGATAGAAAATTCTTTTTACAAAAGCAATTTAAAATTTTATTTTATTTTATTTCATTTCTTACATTAATTAAGAACCTGTTCAACCCTAACAATTCCTGATCCAAACAGTGCGATTCCAATCCAAATCGGTATTTTTCTAAACCTTGATCTTGGGTGAACCAATTCGTAACTTTTTCCTTCTATAATATATACGATATTTCTTGTAATGTCTATTTGTCTTTCATCTTTTGTTTTTAACCCTCGAATAAAAAAGATATCTAATCTTTCCGATACCGATGGATTTAGCATTATTAGAGAATTCTAATTAAGAAAATCACCAAGATCCAAGATTTGTACTATATATTCCCTCAAAGTAGGGAGTCGTAATAAATAATAAATAAGGTAAGTTTCATTGAGATAAATTAGTAGGTTTTAAAATATTCATTTTAAAAAATAGTAAGAAA